TAGATTTGTTAATTTCCACTCCGCCGTACTCCTTCAACTTCCACTATGACATGATTGTATGGCTTTCTTATGGAGAGGAAAGTATTTTCTAATACAAATAGTTTGTTATGCAAGTAAGAAGATAGTTAAATAACACATAATTAAAACCGATTTTGCAGGTGTACATAAAATTTACGGCCATTTCCATCCCATTTTTCAAATATATCTGAGTCAGTAGTGTTTAGTGAAAACACCTGTCATTACTCCCTGCAGAAAAGTTAGTTTTCAGGTCCAATTTGTTACCCATTCATTAATTATAAACTTCAATGCCTTGAGTGAAGCTGAACTATCAGAGTCAATAATTATTTTAACTGAATTGAGACTTTCTCAGGCACCATTGAGCACAAAAATGAATTGCTTGCAGTTCTGGTTAAAATATTGTAGAAGTATTTTCAAAAGCTGTTACAGTCACGTGTCAGGATCAATATTTCCAATTTCTAACCCTTCCATCTTTTGACCCACAAGTATAGAACATGAGAAGGCAGGGTAACTTTTGTTATGTTTTAATTCACACTCGTTTATGATTATATATAGTTTATACCTGTAGGAATCTTCAAGGACTGCGATGCTCCAACTCTTAAAATCTCTTGATGCTCAATCAGCTTGTTAGATTTTAGATTCTAGACACGTGTTAAATGTACTTCCTAGAACGAACTTCCTTACATGTATACAGAGAGAAAAGTTTAATGGTATAAAAGTAAATCAAAAATTAAAGAGAAATATAAAGATAATGATTTATTTCTGATTTATCTTCAAATTTGCTGTTGTTTTTTAAGCATTATAAGCTTGCTAAAAATATTAGAGTGTGCATTTGAAAAAGCGTTGTTAGTGATCGTCCAGTATTACAAATTATTTTGTGAACATGAAATGTTTTATTATACACCTGTAGTGGACGTTAAAATATAAATTTATATTAGGAAATTTTATGTACATATATGACAAAATTATATATATGAGAAAAAAATAAAATAAAATCTTAAAGTGAATTAAGATCTATCTGATCAATTTGTTTTGTTTAACATTTTTGTTTTTAGCCTTCTACTTGTGGTGTCGTATCCATTTTGGGCCTAGACCGTTACTCTGGATATACCTATGTTGTGTATCGTTAACGGTATACAAATATACAGGACCTTTACTTATATATAGCGTTTAACCATATTTTTTTATTAATGTTTTTTTTAGTGAAATATATTATGTTATTTAGATTAATTTTTTTTTCAACCAATGTGCATTCATAATATAAATTTTGCAATTATAACATATTTTTTCTTCTAGTACTATCGATCTATAGCATATATGTCTTTAATATATTAAATAGGCAAAAAAGCAAGGTAAGATACTATTTACAAATAAAGAAACGCGTGGTTGACATAGATCTTCTACTTGTATTAGTTGTATAACTGACGATCTGTTAAGTCCATTACGGAAGTATTTCTTGAGGCCACACAGCTAGCTATCTTTCCATCTCTTTGGTGATCTCCCAGGTGATTACTTTCCAGCTGGTTTTCCTTCTAGCTCCAATATTAGTAGGATGTGCTCTTCTCTCCTTTTTGCATGAGTGTACCATTTTATTTGTCTTTGCTAATCCCATCTCACTTTATCTTGTACGCCGCATTATTTACTGATGATTTTATTTCTTATAGTTTTCCCTAATACTACTATTAGTTTCTTCATTTTGGCTGTACGTAGGATACTTTTGAATTTGTCGGTGTTTTTAGACACTTCTCACACCTTTTTTAAGATTATGTCAATCGCCTTTCTTGGAATACTATTAAATGCTTTTTAAAGTCAATAAATGCTCGGTATAACTCAGTGCTTGAGTTTTATATGTTTGGTATTAATTTTTTTTATAGTAAAAATGTGGTCTTGGATGCTTCTGCCTTTTCTAAATTTACTCTGTCATTGTTTCATTTTAGAATCAATTTCTTGTAAAAGATGTTTCTGTAATATTATCTCTTGCACATTGGATATGATGCTCAGTAGTGTTATACCTCAGTAGTTACTACATTCCCGTCTATCTCCCTTTTGACGATGGGTAGAATAACCCCCACTCTCCAATATGTTGTTATTTTGCTCTCACTTCATGCCTTATTTCAAACTTTTGTTAGCAATTCTGTGCGCTTGTCGTCTATGTTTTGTAACATTTCCACTGTGATTTTATCAAATCCAGCCGTCTTAACTATCTTGAGTTTTTGTATAATTTTTTTATTTTTGCTATAGTTATTTCGCCTGGATTTTGGTCTTCTTGCTCTACCTCTTCTGGTTATTTTTGGTGGCAGCCTACATCATTTTGGGAGTTTAGTAGATTCTCAAAATATTGTTTCCATCTCTCTAAGATGTGATCATTGTTATGCAGTATGCGTCCTTAATTGCCTTTTATCTGCTTTGGTGTTTATGAAGACTTTTCGGTTTTTAGATTCTTTTAAGTTTTTAAAAAATAATTTTTGATTAGTGTGGTTCCAACTTGTTTCCAAATTCTTCCCAACTTTTCTGTTTCGCTGCTAGTACTATTTCTTTGACTTTGGTTTTTTATTGTATGTATTTTTGGTAATTTTCTCTGGTTTAGCTTCTTAGATAATTATTCCAAACTATCTTCTTGGTGTTTACTTCTATTTTTATTTCATTTTTCACCTGTTTGTAAACTTTTTACTTCTATTATTCTTGTTATTCCGCATACTTATTTACCACCGTTTAGTAATGTTTCTTTTAGTTTCTACACAGCCTGGTCTGTTACATTCCTGTTTAGCGTGCTCTATTAGGTAGATATCTACGTAATTCTCATACTTCTTTGCTTTTTTGTCTGCTAGCTTATATGACTTGATTACTTCTATAGTGGGGATATTATGAGCTTTACTTCTTTTTTTTTGCTTCTTTAACTCTTTTTCTGAGCTCACATAGTCTATGACGGATATTTCTTTTCTGCTTTTGACTTTTCTTGTATATTTGTGTGCATCTTAGTGTGGGAAAAAATATTTTGTCTGCATAGAAAAAGAATACGTTCCCCACTGTCTTTTTTTATTTATTTTCCGTATGCTCCAACTACGTTTGTGGTAGGTTTAACTCTTATACCCACTCGACTATTTAGGTCCCCTAATACTATAGTGTTGTTTTCTGTATATTATCTCTGTGTCCTTCTCTTAGAATAATCTTTGCTAACTGCTTTTTTGTCATCATTTATTCCATACATAGCGATAATATTAACTAATTTATGTTCAGCAGTTACCACTCTTATCTTTATATTCTTTCCGGAAATGCATTCCCAATATTTAATCTTTTGCTCTTTCGCTTTATGACATTCCACTGGTGATGAAGAATTCTCATTATCTAAAAACTGTGTTCATTTTTCCTTCACTTTGGTCTCGATTACACTTAGTATATCTATATGCTTTTTCTCAAATTCTTCATAAAGTTCAATTTCTTTGCCGTTAAAACCTCGTAGACCCCTGAGACTCCTAAGCATCGTCATTGATGTATATTTTTTCTTCTTTAACATGTCTTATTTACGATTTATTTTTCATAAGCTATACCTTTTATTCATGTTCTGCTAATTCCATCAGGCAGGTTCTCTCTTCCAGTTTGAATGCGTTTTTAATTTCAACATCTATTTCCAAATTATGTTTAATGAAGTTTCTCATTCCCTCTTTTAAAACGCTTTGATCGTATCGATTGCTAGTCCAATAATCGAACAATTTCCTATTTCGGAATTTCGGCATATAAGTTGGTTATTAGACAAATTTCTATATTTACTTTGTCACTATTTTACAGACAAAGATTGTAATGGAGTTCTTCCATTTGTAGGGATTTTTTACTATGCAAATTGAGATTAGCAGTACCGACTTTTCTCTTTTTTCCAGTTCTTCCGAGTTTTTTGCTTTTCTTAGTATTTTGTTTTCTCCAGGGCTTCTTGTTTTTTATTTTTGGATTGTACAACTATTGTATCTCCAGTAATATCTGGAGTATATCTGGGATATACTCAGATTATTGGTTCTGTGCTGTTTGTCTGTTGATCCGATTTATGTTAATGTTGGTTTGTTGTATATACAATGTCTTTTAAAATAATTCTTTAATTCTTTTTATTTTTTTCTTCCTATTGGTTACCAAATTTTCCAAGCCATCCCTAAGCTGAAAGATTGTTTTTACTTGTTGAATTTTTATGGTTCATACTTCTATTTTGTTCTAAAGCCTGCACAATTCTTTCGTTTTTAAATTTTATATGTCTTCTCGCGTTATTCGATGTCTTTATTATGTTGTATTTTTTCACTTTGTAACTGTTTTTGATTTTGACATAAATTTTTAAAGTAATTTTTTTAATTAAGTTTTGTTTAGACTTGTGAACATAATCGTGTTAAATCTATCAACTATTTGTTTATTTAACAGATCTGTATTATTTTTGGTAGGTATGCGCCGTCTATTAAAATTATAAAGATTTATTGAATTTGCGCATAATAGGTATTCTGCGGAGGGGAATAATAATTTACCAGAGTTTTCTAGCAGTTCACAGTGATATAAAAAATATCGAAACTAGCTAAACAATTATAGGATATTGCTTTTACAACACAATAATAACCAGGATGCTGTAAATGGTGACCAGATGATGCAAAATATATCCAGACCAGTTTTAGACGTCTATCAAAGAAAAGTTCAAGTAGTGAATAATGTAGTCCAAAGTTTTAATTTAATCAAGTAAAACTGTTTTGTTTATGTTGAGTGTTAAATTTATATTTTTTAAAATTATTCATATAAAAAGAAAAATGTTGTGATTCTTGTGTATATTATTAAATATTAAAACCATTTATGTAATTATTAGATTATGATTAATATAGTATATCATTAAAACTATCATTCATTAAGCTAAAAATTACATTTTTATCTATTTTAAACACGCTATAGTCTTTGCTTTTTATGATTACACTTTATTTTTTTCTTTGTCTGCTTTCTGCTTATATACTTTTTTTCTTTAGACTACTTTTCTAACGAACATCAGAGACTTCTCACCAACCAGAGTGAAGATATAAACTATACCGAGGAGATTTAGCTTCTGTCATTGTCTATGCACTGTTTATAGGTAATGGTTTTCACCTCTATGCATTTACCTAACCAACATTTGTACTAACCTAATTCTAATTCTAATTCTCTAACTACTAACAACTTGTTTACTATAGCCTTTTTGATAGTAAGTGGAAGGGAAAACGCTTAGTTTTGTTTTTTGTTTTTATAGTTTATTTTATTATTTATATTTTAATCCACTTTTAATAATTTAGTACTCTAACTTTGAACACACTTAAAACTATTGTTCTCTACATTTTCATTTGGTCGTTTCATATAAAAAATTATTTGGTCCAATGAAATAAAATAAAAAAAAATAGTCGAATCAGTTCACAATATTATTACTATGCTTACTTTTAATGGGAAACAATTTTTATTCTTACAAAAAACTTACATGGGAGAAGTGCTAGTTCTTTTTCGTATTTTAAGTCAGTTTTGGTTTGATCTGTGATTATGTGCTTTGATAAACATTTTTTATAAAGTTCTTTTTGTTTGTCCGATGTCAATTATTTTGTCCGATATAATACCGCTGAGTGAACATTTATTGGTACCTGGTATAGGTATACATACGTTGAAGTAACATGGACTGCTACAAAAACGAAAACAACAAAGATTCAAGAAAAAGATATCGGGTTAATGAAAAGCAAAAAAAAAAGAATGAATAACGCAAGAAATCATGGACCTCATGGACTTGAGATGAAAACATAAAACAAACCCAATTAAATTCAAACGAATCAATGAAATAATTAGAAAAAAAGTGCAAAGAAACTAAATAAAATATATTGTCAACATCGCCACCGGTAAGTGCTGGGTAGATTGAGTAGCTCAGTAAATGCCGGTGCCGGTCCCAAGCCCGGATAAAGGAGGAGGGTTGAGGCGATGGGCTAGCAACTCATCCCATGTCAAAACAAAAAAATGCTAAAGATTTCGAATAAAAGCCTCGGAATACAAAGGATGGATCAAAACAAAGACGACTAATGCAGCGAAAAAGGAAAATGATATTGGCTACATGGAATGTACAAGGACTTAGATCCAAACAAGCAGAGGTGTTCAAATAATTAGCGGAAAGAAAAATAGATATATGTATTCTCACCAAGACCAAGAAAAAGGGAAAAGGAAATGAAGAGATAGGAGAATATATACATAACTACAGTGGAGTAAGTAAAGATAACAGAGCTAAGAGAGGAGTCTCTATTGCCATTCGAAAAAATCTTAAAAACAATATTAAATCGTGGACTGAAGTAAATGAACAACTGCTAATATTGGAAATAAAAAAGAATGGGCACAACATCGTAATTGTCGGAGTGTATGCCCCAAATGAAGATGCAGATCCAGAAAGTAAAGACGATTTCTACAACAAGATGAATGAAATACTCTCTGAAATTAAAGAAAACTGTGAAATCTTCATACTAGGAGATTTAAACGGCAGAGTAGGGAGAGAAGAAAATAACAGAGTCGTAGGAAGATATGGAGAACAAATAACCAATGACAACGGAATGCGTCTTAGAGATTCTTGTGAAATAATGTCTCTCAAAATTATGAATGGATTTTTTCAACATAGAGACATCCACAAATTTACATGGATACAACCTACTAGAAATCTGCGCTCGATAATCGATTATGTAATCCAACGTCAAACTTCCCAGCTGAAAACAACTGACGGAAGGGTATACCGTGGATCAGAATGTGAATCCGACTGTTTGTTTGTATTGTTTGTAGATTTAGAGAAGGCTTACGATACGGTACCTTTGAAAAAACTGTTTCAAACATTGACGAAAGTAGGTCTCAGTAGAGAGTATGTGAATGTTATCGCAAATATATACAAAAATGCAAGAACTGTCGTTAAAGAAAGAAACTTTATATCTGAATCATTTCCAATAACAAAGGGGCTTAAACAAGGATGTTGTCTATCTCCGACCTTATTTAAAATATATATTCAATCATCGCTAGAGCAGTAGAGGAAACAAGTATCCGGAATGGGAATAGACATAGGTGATGGTAAATGTCTAACAACTTTATTTTTCACAGATGATCAGGTAGTCATAGCGAATGATTAGGAAGACATGGACTACATGTTTAGAAAACTAAAGAAAGAATATGAAAAATGGGGCCTTAATATGAATATGTCAAAGACAGAGTATCTTAAAATAGGAGATGACGAATCCGATCCAGAGTTAAAAATTAGAAACACAAAAACATGGAATGAATATAAATATCTCGGATCTATAATATCTAAGAAAGGCACTACCAAAAGAGACATCGAAAACAGGACGCAGCAGGGAAAAAAAGCGGTTAACATTCTGAACTGTCTACTATGGTCTAAAGATATTTAACAAGAAACAAAATTGACAATCTATCGAACCTTGGTAGAGCCTATTATGACTTATGGGGCAGAAGTTTGGCAGAACACGAAAAAAGATAGAAAAAGAATAGAAGAAATAGAAATGGATTTTCTAAGGAGAGCGTGTGGTGTATCCAAAAAAGATCATATCGGGAATGAAGATATTAGAAGGAGGATAAATACTGTATATTCCAGTGTAGACAGAATTGTAACGAGACAACTAGTGTGGTATGGTCACGTGAAGCGAATGAATAAAGATAGATGGCCAAAGAAAGCTTTAAATTACATACCACAACAAAGAAGAAGAAGGGGAAGACCATCAGTTGCCTGGGAAGAAAATGTACGACACCTAATGAGAGATAGAGCCATCAAAAAGCGGCAGAGGCTGTAGGAACCTCGCTTTTATATATATATATATATATATATATATATATATATATATATTGTCAATATAATACCTAGAAATTGAACAACTTCAGCAAAGATACGATACCTTTAATGTCCATAAGAAACAAAATAATTAGGTACAAAAGACAAACTGGAGAGATGAAAAAAATACATTCAGGTACTTTTTGACAACGATAGAATTTGTGCTTCACCATCCACAGATGATCGAGTAAATGAAAAAGGTCCAGAAATAACCAAAGAAGTTATTCATGCAGTAAAAGTTCAGAAAAACGAAAAAGCCACTGGTCCAGCTAATATCAATGTCAAAGTACGTAAATTAATTGCAGACAATGAAAGTAAAAGCCTAGGCTTGCTAATACTATTAAAAAACCGAAATTTGATGTCTTAGGTCATTAAAATTTTTTTCAGAAACATCCATACATGAATTTATAAGAAGTGAGTTTTAGATGAGTGGCACTGAATTCAGATTTTAAAACGGATTGGGATTATTTTAAATATACTAACACAACGATGCAGAGACGTAGATGTAGACAAAATGTGCATGTTTTATTGATTATAAAAAAGCATTTGACTGCGTTAACCATTAAAAGATGATCGAAATTCTGAAAATAATTGGAATTGATAAACAAGAATTGCTAATTATATCCGAGCTATATTAGCACCAAACGGTAACAATCATGACCATGACTGAACATGAAAAACACTCATGAACATGAAAACATTTTTTACAAAATCAGACCTTAGTCTAGAGCTCACAATGCGAATTATCAGATGGTACGTTTTCTCTGTCTTGCTGTTTGGCTGTGAAAGTTGAATAGTAGAGTAGAAGAGTATAACAATATGAATCCCCTTCAGTGGTATATCTTAACAGTTTTTTATTTCTTATTCTTTCGTCCGTCTCAATTAGTAGGACACTTATATTTTCACTAATAAATTAATTCTTAATGTTATTCTTTTCTTCTACTCATCTCATTTATGAAAGCATTCTCATTTTTGCAATATATATCCGTCATTCTACTTTATTTTTAATCTTCAACATTCAGTGCCGCAGTTCCCTAAGTGTTCGAGGTTCTGTATTATATGCTTTATCAAGATCAACGACTATCATTTGCACGTTTGTTCATTTATTTTTAAATTTTGCGATTAGCTACTTTTTACATAATAATTATAGCGTCTATTGTTGATCTGCCTTGAATAAATTATTCAAGGCAGAAATAATATTGAAATATTTTGATGTCTTTACGTATCCGTCTATCAATTCATCATTGTCAATGGTGCTACCTCCCTATAGTAGAGCCTCGATGACCTACCCAAATATACCTATTTCGTCAGTTAGCTCTATCCACTGCCAACCGTTGACGTACCTATTTTTATAGCATATTCATCTACAACAATGATTACATCAGGAAAAGAAATAGCAAAGAAGGATCTAAAAAAGAACAACTATATATCAACAGAAACAAAGAAGCTTATGGATAAAAGAAGGAAGCTGAACGAAGAAATCAAAAGGAAATCTATAGAATATGTAGAAATTAATAAAACAATAAGCAGAATGATAAAAGAAAATAAGAGAAAAGAACAAGAAATAAAAATAGAAGAATAAATACAAAACAACAAAAATATGAAATGCTTAAGGCCGAAATTAGGTAAGTTTGAAATAAACAAAATAAAATATGTATAGAGATGGAATAAAAACAAACGTTAAAGATGACATCATAAATATAATCCACCATTTCTACTCAGAATTGTATAAAACAAAAAAGGAACCACCAGAAGAAATTAAAAACCAACTTAAGGTCAAAATAAAAAATGTCAACTCAGAACTGCAGCCCGAAATATCCAAATCAGAAATAAAGAAGGCATTGAAAGAAATGAAAAACAACAAATCGCCTGGAAAAGATGGAGTAACTACAGAGATGCTGAAATATGGTGGAAAAGTGGTAATTAATACTCTACATTTCCTTTTTAACAGGATATTAAAAGAAAAAAGAATCCCAAACAACTGGAAGGAATCAGTAACCATTATCCTACACAAGAAAGGGGATAAAGCAGATATAAAAAACTACCGTCCTATAACACTCCTCAATGTAATGCATAAACTCCTAACAAAAATTTTAACCAATAGATTGACGACAAAACCCGATGGATACCAGTCGAAAGAACAAGCTGGTTTTAGAAAGGGATTCAGCACAAGTGACCATTTACTAAGTATGAAAATACTTATAGAACGAGCAAATGAA